AGCAGGTGGTCGGAGAGTCTCAATGCCTTTATTTTTTTATTATTTTTTAATTTTTTTTTTTATTCTGTGATAATGAGAAAATGTTTAAACTTCCATCCCTGTGTTTAAACACTTCTTCATGCTGACAGCAGCAGGAGATCCCTTGATCAGCTGTCAGATGGGAAAGTGCAATTTTTCTGGAAAGTAAACAGCGTGTTTGCCAGTTGGAAATCATTTTCTGTTTGTTGGGACTGCTAGTCGTGCCGTGATGGAGCCATGTCACAGCATCTGACAACTCGGGAGTGGGGAATAGAAAACAGGCTGAGAAATGGGTTTTAGACTTTGCCTCTGATAACAGGAGCTTGAGATTTTTGACACTTAGCTATTGTTTTTGTGGGGAAAAAAACCCACCACTTATGGATTGCTTATGCAACTTTTAAAGCAAGCAGCTCAGTGTCAGTGTGAATATGTGGGACCTTCTAAAAGAAGCTCCTGCATTTTAATAGAAACTTTCCTAGGAGAAAAACAAAAGGGACACACAAAGGAACTGAGTGCATGTGGAGACACATGGGGGTGAAGGTGGCCAGATCTCATTCCTGGCTAGCAAGAAAAAACCAAAAATATTCTCCTTATAATTGTATTAGAAAATGTTTCATGGCTCTGGTGTCACATAGACTTGGGGAACCCACTGGGAGTTTCAGGTCAGGCAAGGAAGGCAAATATAGTCACAGCGTCATGCCAGCGAGCTCAACCCCATCCCCAGGGCAGCCAGGGCCTGGCTGAAATCAGAGCTGTTACGCTCTCTGTTGGAAGTACCCTGGAACCCAACTAAGTTCACTTTAAATGCTGACCACATTTTTTTCTTTTCCTATTAGGCAAATACCTTCTCAAAGTCAATTCCCATAAAGAACAAGAGATACAGATATAATGCACATAATTTTAATTAAAATTAAGGTTTGAATGTGCATATGCAGAGGCATACACAGCATTTTTCCTATGCAGACATAGACAACATCTTATATGCAGAATCAACAAATCAACCTGATTTCAACACTGGGAAAGTTAATTACCCAGAGCATGGCTTGGATTGCGTATTAGTTATTTGCAGCAATTATGCTACATGGAGTCCTTGGTAGTCTCCCAACAAATGCTTTCCTCTGCTGGCTGCACTGCAGCCTTCTCCCTCTTCCTAAAGATCCCCATTAAAAGCTTCCTGCCTATTACACTTCATGAAATCTTGGCTCATTAAAACTGAAGTTTCGGTGCCCAGCTGGTATCTCACTTGCACCAGGAAAGCCCTAGAGTTGGTGCTTTGGTTTCAGCTCCACCACGGTCTTGAGTGAGGCCAGGTTGCGCTGGGCTGCAGGGAGGCCAGCGGAGCTGGGGAGGCAGCTGCCTCCCTCCCGGCCCCGCACCACGGTTGCAATTAGGGGCAGGGCTGGACCATCAGCAAAAATGATCCCAAGCGAAAAGATCAGATCAGAATCTGGCCCTTTGTTAGCAGTCATTAAAAAACATTGCACTTTTAATAGGAGCTTATTCAATTAGCAGACTAACAGGCTCCATCAGATAAGCTGGGGATTTCCCTGGGAATCTGAGTCACATACTGGTGAAACGGCTCTGCACCCTATGGTTAACCCTCTCCACGCAGAACCAGGGTGAAGAGGCCAGATCCCAGGAAAAGGATTATTTTTTTATTCTTAAGGGAGAAGGAAAAGCCCTCCACTGCGCCTTGAAGCCCATGAAGCCGAGTGGGAGTCGCACACGCTGGAAGGACCCTTGAGGACGATGGCACCAAACTGTAGCTGTTGCAAACAGGAGACTCGCCTGATCTCTGATAAATACGCTGACATTTGGCAGCCTGACAGCTTCACAGTCCCATAAGAGGCTTCCTAATTAGAACCTGGGTGAGAAATAATCCACAACCTGAAGTTTGTCTCTAGCTTCCTTGCTGTACCTTTTTTCCCCTCCTTTTTTGTGCCTTTTCTCTTTTTTCAGTGTTTTCTCTCACACATTCTCAACACATCCCCTCCCCGCCAGCGGAAGCTGTTTGAAACACCAAGCAGGAGAAAGGGTCATTTTTGCGTATCCCCTCACCTCAGAGCAGCTCCCAGCAAAAGCACCCCTCTTGCATTCCAGCGTTGCCCTTGAAGGAGACGGGAGATAAGGAAGGGGAAAGGACGGTACACGGTGAAGTTTATAATGACGCAAGGTACAACCAGTCTGGAAGATAACCAAACCAGTCCCATTCACTCCTAGTCAAACAAGTAAGGCAAAACTGCTGCTCCCAGCAGCGGGAGAATGGGGACTCTGGGTCCGGATCCAGCCCTGAATTTTGCTTTCCGCTACAGCAAGCTGGCCCCAAACAGCACATCACGATGCCCTGAGTCTTTTAGCTGAAGCCAGGGTGTGAATTTAGAATTGCTTTCAAGATGTACAGTACCGTGATGCTGCTGTATCATAGCAAGACATTCATCCAGCTGGTTGAAAGATGAAATATATTTTTAGAGATATGTACTGTTACAGAGCCAGATCTTTTAAAGCTAAATCACATTCCACCCATTTACACCATCACATGCGTATTCTCCGAATAGTTCCAGAAAAGCTCTTCAAATGCAATAACCTCTGAATTTGATATTATGTCAACAAGCAACATCTGCTAAGACAAGTATAACTCTTTTACTGTATTTATTTCCTAGAGGGTTATTTGCCGATAGTGGGATTGATTGTTCTCTATTTGATATCCCAAAGTCTTTTCCAGGGTAATGAGACAGGTAGCAAAGCTTTTCAAAAACAATAGCTATTGTATACTCTGCAGCAGCTTGGATACAGATAGGAACATCAGAAGCCACTTCACATTAGAGTGCTGTTCCCCTTTACCGTCCTCCTCAGCGAATACCATATTCCCTGGATAGCCACCAGAAACAGGCAGAAACTTGGGATTCTCCAGCCTTGGCCATACATTATATCAGAGAGCTCTGTATGTTACCACCATTCGACAGGATCCCAAACGATGACATGGGACCGACGCCTACAAACACTTGACCATTAGCTCTCTCCAAAGCAAAGATATTACCTTGAAAATATGCAGTCGAAGCTATTTCCGGGACAAACATATTTATTGTTCAGCAATACTAGAAGATCTCCATCTAATGCCTCTAGAGTCTGATACGAGTCTTATCCAGAGGTCTGGGGCTCCCTGGGGAGTGTACTTTTTTAAGGTTTCACTTTGGGGGCTTCATTATGATTGCTGATGCCCATGTTTCACGTGCTGCAGATGGCTATGTGTTGTGCAGCTATGAGAGCAAACTGTGGACCTACACCTCTGTGCTGGGGAGAACAGCCCTGCATTAGGACTGGAAAGGCCCGTAACATCGTCCTCATCTGTAATGCCTGTATGGCTAAGATACCGAGGCTGAGAAAGTTGTTTATTGAACTGATACTTCCAAAAAACAGATGTTATGTAGTAAGCAGAGCTGCTCCCTGAGGTTCTAATATTAACAAATTCCCTGAATAGACTGTAGCTGTGTGTTTTCTACTGTCCCTCTCTATAAACTGGAGCATGGATTAGTACACACTATTTATAGAGCCCAGCCCACCCACTTGCTTGGAGGACCCCTGAAGCTGAGGGAGATGTAGCTGCATTCGTAGCTAGACACCACCCCCAGGGTCCATGTAGCATCATATCAAAATTCTGCCTTTCAGCATAGCAGAAATCTTGGAAAAAAATAGAGGTTGTTCTGGACCTGAAATATCTGGCTCCACTCCTGCCCTGATTTTTTTTGCATGATAAATGAGTGCAGACATGAAGAAGGAGGAGAGCACGGATGTGGGGAAAACTCTCCTGAAGGACTGACTGGGGAGGAGATGAGGCAGAGCTGGCACTGGGTGACTCACTCCTTGGGCACCTGTGTTCCCTGTCACCGCAAAGTGGGCACAAATGTCAGAAGAGCAGCATTTCACACACATGTGCATGTCTGATATGAACCATTTTAAAATTCAGGTGAATCAGATGCCATGAACAGGTGCAATACCACAGGAGAAAAGAAAACCATTGATTCTTTTCAGTTAAACTCCATTTTTTCAGGGTTTAGAATTTCAGTCATTTAAATCCATTTTAGACTAAGTCTTAGAAACAGAAGTTGGCAGCCTGGAGGAATTAATTTTTTTATTATTTTATTTTAAGGGATTAACTCAAGTTGATAGATTTAGAGCATTTTTAAAGTTTGTTGGTTTCAGATGTTTAAAAAGAAATTTAAAATAAACAAACAAAATCCAGTTGAAAATTTGGCAAGGGCTGAATCCTTTGGGCAAAATTTTCCCAGGAGAAGCATAGATCTCTGATAAGCAATGGAGGAGATGCCGTATTTCACAGCTGCAATGCAGATCTGTGGCCTCTCCAGAGACTCCCACACACTAAACAGGGATTTCTTTAGTTTAAATGCCAGATCTGTTTTGGTCCCAGTGAAACTCCAGAGGGGCATTATCTAGCAAAATGGGGCACGTTTAATCCACTTTATCATTAATGCAAAGGATAGTCTCAATATTTGTGAAAATCAAAACCATGCATTATGAAAGGTCCTTCATATCTTGAGTAGATTAAACTCTACTCACCAGCCTCCCCTAGACAGTTGGGCCATAGTTTGTAATGTCTCTATTTATGATATACAGGTCTTTCTGGGTCTGTGATGAAGCAAGCATAAGCTAGACCGCTGGCCTGACTGAGCACTTCCCTGAAGGATGTGCTAGAAAGTTTAGTTTGGTGACTAAGGCTGGAAGTGCCACAGGTGCTGAAGGAAAATAACAGCTCTGAGCAACACAGTCTGACTTTGGCTTCAACCTTGTTGTCAGGAATGGTTGTTGCATTTTCTTTGCAGAACCTTCTCTGCTAGTGAAATCTCAGGCCATTTGACATGTTGACTGGATTTAAAATAAAAAGAATGAAAAGATTCTATGCTACTGAACAGGGGTCTTGAGTTTGTTACCACGTGACAATACTGCCAAGGCCAACTATCCCCACGATGAAGCCTGGGAAGAATTCTTGTGAGCTAAACACCATGCTGTTGCACAGGTCTCCTCCTAGGTAAGTAGCCTCCGTGATGATGCTGGTGAGCTGTGGGCTAAGCTGCACAAACCTGCATCCAGCAGTTGGTGAAAAGCTGCAAGGCAAACCGCACCATGCTTTGCTGGGTAGGTGCCAAAGGCTTCTCACCTGATTATAGGTCTGTTTCATACAAAACCCTCTCAGAAGCCATTCAACTGGAGGCAGGCCTGAAAGATTTAATTCAGTTGAAGGAAGACTGTCTGCAAGGGACCTGGGAGCAGGGATACTGACCATACCACTGTGGATCTGTGCAGAAAGAGCAGGGAGGCAAGCTTGAAGATAGCTACAAGGCCCCAAGCTCAGGACTGTGTTTGAGGGTCCTGCAAGCAGAACTGCCTTGGGGGCTGAGTGAGGGGGCAACCTGAGAACCATAAACTCTTTGAAGGTGATAGAGAGAAACCCAGGAAAGCAGCTGCCCAGCTGAGAGAGGAGGGTCTGTTATCATCTGGGCATGACGAATGAAGGCAGAAAGGTCGCTTTCTGTTTTCAGGGGGCTGCCTGTATGCACCAGGCTGTACTACAGCCCCTGCCAGGGCAGATTCTGCTCGACTTGAGTACAAGTGAGGAAAAAATGGCCAGGCCTGGAGACAAGCATGCTGTGAGCAGTGAGAGCCAGCCGCTCCATGCCAGACAGTGCCTGAGGCAACTGTGGAGAAGTTGTCCTTGAAGGGGCTGCCCTGGAGCCCTGGCCTGGGAGGAAACAGACCTTGAATATGACCTCCTCTTCTTCCCCTTCGCAGCAGGCACTACTATGCAAAGTTCCCTTTGGTTTGCATGAGTGAGGGAGGGAGAACATAGCCTCATCTCACAGATTTCCACCCCCCTTCCCTGTGGCTCTGGATAAAGTTTTGGAGGGATGTGGAGCAGAGAGGCTCATCCCCAGTCCCAGGTGTCCCTGAGCAATGCCCATTTCAGCAAGGAGCACAGCACTTCTGCAAGCCGTACACCCTTCAGAAGGAACAGCTGTATCACCCCCTTTGGTTGTGTCTGGGGTCCCTGTTTCCTTTAGACAGATCCTCCAGCTGACACTGAGGAGGCAAGGTAAGCCTTGGGCAGATGTCTGAACCCTCCAGCATGATCACCACATTTACCAAGCATCCAATGCACTTTAAAGGGTCTGAAGATATCTTCCATTGCTAGTATGATTACAGCTCTAATGAGATTTGAAGCAAGCCATTTCTTCTAAACAATGGTGCTAGCTCATTCTAACCCATTTAGATGATAATCTACTTTTCCAGATATTAATATTTTCATATTAATGTAGATCCTTTTATCCCTGTAGCTTAGCACTGGGCTCTGATTTATTAATAGCTGGCTCCCTCTGGACTAGGGGAGCAGGATGCTGCGTTGCGATGAGCTTAATAACTCACTGCTCCCCATTAGTAAATCACAGACTAGTGCTTCAAATTTGCAGGGAGAATTGGGTTGACTTTCCCTCATCCCTTGAAGCATCTTAGTCCTGTTGTGCAAAACTACCTGCTAACAATCTTTCTTAAATGAGCCACGTGCTCTAATACGGGTTCATCCCACTCGACTGAACTTTTAACAGCATTTCAAGAGGCAAGGGCAAGAGCAGAGTTAATAGATTTCACTGGCTTTTCCCACCAAATGGTGCCAGGGCACTCTTCTGGAGGCACCAGCAATATAACATCCAGCAGAATTAATGTATTTATTATTTTAGAAGAGCTCATGTTTTTTTAATGTCTCCCAGTTTGAAGGAAGGGTTGAAAGTAAGGGCAGCCTATTTGCATTGTGAATAAAGTTATCTGCCTCCTCCGCCCCCCTGGAATATGCAGAAATAAATGCCTTCTAATGAACCCTGGGGGGCTGAAGCTTTGATATGGATCTTGCCAGTGGTATAGTGGTCAGAAGTTCTCACCAGACTGAAACCCAGCATGGCATGAGGGGGTAGGCAGTCTTCCTCAGAGTGCGAGAGAAGGGAAATTGGATTATCTTCCTAGCAGTTGGTGTTTTTCTGTCTGCAAGAACTTACAGATGAGAGGCCCCAGTTGGGAAGTTAAATTCAGCCCCCTGCAAACAGTGATGTCTTTTTTCCTCCTCTAAATAAAAGAGATGAACCCGTTCAAGTTCTGGAAACTTTTTTCTCTAGCTCTGGCTGGGTGCAGGGCAGGTGGGTAGAGAAGCAAAACTGCAGGATTTGAATTTTAGTTTGCTGGCTGCTGAAAGTGTTGAGTATGTGTGGCCATGTGTTTGTAAACACAGATTACTCTTTGAATGTGACATCTGGCTTTCAAGGAGCTCCCACAGCAGGCAGAATCACAGCAGTACACACTTCAGTTCCCTCAGACAAATCTATTGTAGGACACTGTTTTGCAGTTTACAGCACACCGAATAAGCTCAAAAAACAACAAATGCAGCTGAAGCCCCTTAATAGAGAAAATCTGGTTAAATGGCTTGCTTTCTGGGAACAAATTGTTGAATAAAAAGAACACCCTGGCAATGGGAAAGTTTTCTGCGTTGCCAAGAGGTTCCATAAAAAGACCATTTTACAGTGTTAACCCATTCCCTATAGAAGCCAGAGCACACTGCAGAGGATCACATGCTGCCTGGGAAGCAGCAGCACAGAGAGATGAAATACAGCAGCCATTGACAGGAAGGGCGTGCAGCATCCAGGGTGCCTGTGCTCCCTCCCCGGGCAGCAGCTGGCATGGGATGGTGTCTGGTGATTCCACCGGCAATGCCAGACCAAGCAGCTCTTCCCTTGGGATGTGGACACAATGCCTTCCTAACAGACAGGGCAATACCAGGAGCACTGAGCAAGCTCCCTGGCACACAGGATGTACCAAGGAGTGAAGGGAATGACAAGATTTTTCTCCCCTCTTAGAGGAGAAGGATAGAGAAGAAACGATTCTGCAAGAGAGCTGGGATAGACAGGAAGGAGCCAAGACATTAAGTGCCACTGTTGTTTTTCAGGATCTGGATACCACATCAGGAAGTTTCACAAGGTTGCAGCATCCTTATGCATCAACTGCAGAGTCCCCGTGGCAGCATTTTGGGATTATTTGCCCTGATAACCTGAAAATTTCTACAGCTTTTCTGAGCGGGGCATTTGTCCCTCCCCCACTTCTGTGCAAACTGCAGGCCAGCCCTGACACGAAGGCGAGCACTCCAGGCAGGCTCTGGTATCAGGCCGTGGTTGCATTTTTGACAACAGGGCTGCTTATGTCAGTTTAAGCTGCCCTGCTCCCCTTCCCCTCCCCATTGCTTCCTCACCCATACCACACAACATCAGCTATGCCAGCGTGCTGGCTGTGTAGCACATGGCGAATGAGACCAGAGAACTGATCCACATAAAAAACAACCCAAGGGAAAAAAAAATGTTTATTTTTCAGCTGGATTGGTTCCTGCTCTGGGTCACTGCACAGCAGGGCCACTCAGGATGAGAGCAAGAGCTGAGGACAGGGTCTGTAAGCTGTCAGTCAGTAAAGGTCCCTGCCACTGCTCCCCCTTTCTATCCCTTTATGTGTTGGTTTAGACTTCATTTTCTGTAGAGCTTTTGCTTTCACCCCAAGTTTAGATTTCTCCACACAGATATGATCCAACCTACAACAAGAGCTTGAAACCATTCTTATTTCACAGAAGAGCCTTGGAGTGTCAGGCTACATTTCAAAGTGCAGCTTGCTGCAAGGATCCTCAGGATCTCCTGCAAATAGACTTGTCTGTGCATGTGGCACCATCCAGCACCACTAAGTGAGAGCAAATCCGGTTGTAGGAACAAGAGAGCTGTGTTATTAGCATGCTGCACACTGCATGCTTAGCTCTTTCCTTCTCAGCATGTTTTCTGGTCACAGGGATGTAGCCACTCTGCTCCTGGCTCTGGGATTAGTGACTTCTGGGCAAGCAGCGTGGGGCTCTGCCTCATGCTCCACCGCAGGCTGAAAACACACCCAGCAAACCTCAGGAGGCAGCCTCTCTGTGCTGCACGAGGCTTGGCTGCCGTATTGCAAGTGGGCTAGTTTTAGCACCAACCACTTCAGTACCAAAAGGTGTCATGGAATTTTAATGACCACAGATGGTCACAACTTCTGTTTTATGTCTAATCTGAGCTACTCCCCCTGCCCCCCCCCAACCCAAGCACCGCCACAACAGCACTGTGCTCCCCTTCCAACAGACTGGGAAGGGCGGACTCAGGTGAGTGAGTGCTGATGGTTCTACACTTCTGCTACCTGCTGCTCAGCCTGGATTTTCCTTACCTAATACAGAATGAGTTAACTATATGTAAATGTGATGGAGTCAGGCAACAGAAAACTGTAGGTGAATATTGAGTAAAATACTTTTGATCCACCTCCTCTAAAACATTCCAAATCCATGTCCTCAGGGTCTTCTAGACGTGTATTAGCTGGAACACCTTGGTTTTGTACTGGATGATTAGATTCCCACATTTTTGCACAGGCAAAGGAAGCATGCCCAGATATAGTTCATAGCAACTGTGCAGATTCATTGTAAGTATTGGCCAGATGTTGGCAAGAAGAGACTGAAGAAAAGTGCATACTATTTTCTCATTTAAGTATATAGGAAAATAGATCCTCCTATCCAGCTGTGAGCCTTTCCAGAATACATCCTGGTGTACAGCTGATGGATGTGCCTCCCACAGCCCATAGGGTTTGATGCTGTTCCAGGCATGCTTCATGGGGAGTATTCCATTCAAAATAATTATCAACTTGAATAGAGTAAGCACCAATCTATGCAAAAGCCACTTTGGCTGCTGCCTGGGAATAGATTACAAAGCACATTTGGCTATTGTGTGCATGCTTGTAAATTTTAAAGTGTTGGGTGAGATCTCTGAGTCTGGAGAGCATCAGAGGATCTTGAGAGCACTAATGAACTGTGGAACCCAAATCTTTCTGCTTCTTCCTCCCAAGGGAGTTCCACACTGTATTCGGTAAAAGTCACCACAGCTGCAGTAACTCCTAATAAATCTTATACTAGCTTCAGATTTGGGGAACCCACACAGGAAA